CTGATGTTTCCAACACATGACTTTCCTATCTAGTTTTTTTTTTCGATCTATAGCCTAGGTGTATGTAGGTACCTAATATGTCAGTATCTGTTTTTGTGTTTTTTTAAATTCTCAATCATGTGTGTTCTGTGTAGGGCTTTCCTATCTGGTTATTACAGACTTTTTCCGGTAATTTTGTACAACCTATTGTAGCACCTCTGTAAATGTTTAGAGCATAAACTAAATAGTTCCACATACTTCTAACTCATTAACAATGAAAATACTAAAAAATTTTAATTTTACACTTTTCCTCCACTTTTTCCATTACAGTCCATTTTAGAAAAATTATGTATAAAACAAAAATTATAGAGATCGAGGAAAAATCCGCCAACAGTCGAACGGGCTATTTTTTTTTTAAACGATTTTAGACCTTCTGAAATACTTTTTTTGCCCTGCAAACGCTATAAAATATTTTTTTCTTACCTTAAAACTATTAAAATGTGTCCTCCAATTTCGATGTTGAAAAAATTTAAACTACATCATTTTGATTAATTTCTTGTTATAGAAACTGCTAAATAATAACACTAGACCATCCATAATGCAATAAACCATCCAAATTTTTTCGTAAACAGTTTTTTTTTTTTTAATTTAAGCTCATGTTTAGGTTCGTCGGAATTTTTTAATTTTCGTAAAGACTATGACAATTAAGATTTGCAGTGTGACATATGTCTAAAAGAAATACAATGTTGCCATATCAATTATCTATTACATAGCAATGGTAATTTTTACCTATGCCCTGCATTGTACCAGGCCAACCAATTGACTTCAGTATCAGAAAAATTATATATAACTAACGATTTAAAAAATACCCATATCAAGATCTTCTTCCTCACCCTCATCGGCAGAGTACTCTTCGACGACCTAACCTAAACTAACAATATACAATAAGAAGATGAAGCAACGACTTCTTGTAGGGTGGCGCTACCAAAAATATTTAACTCATACCTGGCTACGCCGACCGGCATAGACTCCAACGGCCTGGACACAGCTCAAATTGAAAAACCTAACCTAACCAACCCTCATTAGCGTCTGGCCAGTGAACATCGATCCCAACTTTTAACGAACGTGTCTTGTATCGTGGGCATCTAATAATATGAAAATAAACAATAAGAAAAGGAAGCAACGACTTTCTGTAAGGTGGCGGCTTCGCCGCCACCAGAAAATTTTTAAACCATACCTGGCTACGCCAACCGGCATAAACTCCAACGGCCTGGACACAGCTCAAATTGAAAAATAAAATAACCTAACCTAACTAACCCTGATTAGCGTCTGGCCAGTGAACCTCGATCCCAATTTTTAACGAACGTGTCTTGTATCGTGGGCATCTAATAATATGAAAATGAACAATAAGAAAAGGAAGCAACGACTTCTTGTAAGGTGGCGGCTTCGCCGCCACCAGAAAATTCTTAAACCATACCTGGCTACGCCGACCGGCATAAACTCCAACGGCCTGGACACAGCTCAAATTGAAAAGAAAAACTAACCTAACCAACCCTGATTAGCGTCTGGCCAGTGAACCTCAATCCCAACTTTTAACGAACGTGTCTTGTATCGTGGGCATCTAATAATAAGAAAATATACAATAAGAAAATGAAGGAACGACTTCTTGTAAGGTGGCGGCTTCGCCGCTACCAAATTTTTTTTAAACCATACCTGGCTACGCCAACCGGCATAAACTCCAACGGCCTGGACACAGCTCAAATTGATTTTTTTTTTAATATTAGATAAGTACTGACATGCCGTAATTAACGTACAATCATCATGAAATAATTAGGCATTCCAAACAAATGAATTGCCAGTGGGAAGGTTTGGTATATCTATGGGTGGCGACATACGGTGTATTCTATCTACTTTACGTAAAATCATGAGTAATAGATAACATTTAAATATTTTATGTCAAACACAATAAAAATAATATTTAAAAAACCCACCTATACATTTCTTCATAAATTGGCAGGCTTGGCGACTACTATTTCGAATAAAAATAGCGTCCAAGTTGCAAGATTATGTCGCTACCCCCTTAGATATACAAGAATTTCCCACTGGCACATATTGTTTGACAGGTCGTTGGAATGCCTAATTGTCATTAAAAATAATTTAATATTTATTTGTTTTTCTAACAAACTAAAAATGAAAAATAAGAAAATTTGATCGTTTATGAACAAATTTGGTAGGGTTCATTGCTCTATGAATGGTCTTATATTGATATTTAGCCGTTTCTTCAACAAGAAATCAGTGAAAATGTTTTATTTCACATTTGTTTTATGATGGAGATCCGACAACAAATTTTAAGGATTTTAAGGTAAAATTTTTTTTTTTAAATAAGTGTTAGCGGGCCCAAAATTGTTATGTATAGTGTGTTTCAAAGTGTCTAGAAACTCTTTATAACATTTCAATAGTTATATCCGCCGTTCGAGTGTCGGCGTATTGGCAGTAATTCGTCCATAAAAAATTTGACACATGGGCACTTTCGAAAAAAAAAAAATCTTATATAAATAAAGAGTTCCTTGGATTTTTCAGTCAAATAGTTTTATTTTTTTTTATAATTTACATATGTTTCTGAATTTACTTACAATTTTTCCATTTTCTGGTGCAGTCAATTTACAAAAAGTATAGGAACGAATTTCTATTTCACTCGGTGTGAAGTAGAAAGATGGGGTTCTATTATTTTAAAAGTTTTTAAACTGCATTCATTCCCATATATAGTCAGTATACTCGGTATATGACAACAAAACGCACTAACACTTTTAACAAATGTATATTTTATAGCAAAACTAACAATATCGATACGAAAATAAACAAACATCTTAATTAATTAACTGAACAAGTAATAATGAGCAATAATGGATGATGCATATTTATACCAAACCGATTAATCATTCATTATATAATATCCGATCTTCGAATCATAGTCAATACGGGGTATATACGGGTATATACTTTTTATAAATTGACTGCACCAGAAGATGGAAAAATTGTATTTTCCGAAGCATATGTAGTGCTTAAATTATAAAAAAATTCAAACTATTTGACATTCGACCGAAAAAAAAAAAAAACAAAAAACTATTTATGAAAAATTCTACTACGGTCAGGTTTATCTTTATTCGAAAGGAAAAATTGTGTCGCAAACACGTGCAAACATTTCAATTCGAAGAAAAATAATTGTAATATTTCTAACTGGTAAACAGTAAATTATAACAAATATGTTCAATGAAATATCTCTGGTATTTGAAAAATAATATTCGGTAATTATAGTGCGTATTACAGTTATTTACTAATTATTATACAGTGTTTATACTTTCTATCTGATAGTATGCATCAATTTCAAAAAAAAAAAAAAAAAATTAAAATATCTGTGGCATTTGAAAAATAACATTCAGTATCACTTGTAAAATGTATTAGTAGTATTTTTTATTGGTTATAATATATATATAGGATGATTTTTTGCAAAATATTCATACTTTAAGGATAGATATGGAATACCGAGGTGATACATTTTGCTTTTACAAACGACCTGTATATTCTAAACTATATTTTTATCTTAATTTTATACAATAAAAAATCAGGAATTTTATTTAAAGCGTGTATACAATGTGACACTATCAGTTGTTATTTGTTGGCAAATCAATCATCAATACAGTTTAAAAAATTTAAAAATGACTTACGAAAAAATTCAAATAAGTGACGCTGTAGCGGGAAGCAGAATTTCTAAAAAGTTCATTAATTTTCGACTATTTATTTGTGCTTTAAGTGGTAAGAAAGTTAAAAACATTGTATACAAAAAAAATATTAAAAACCATTTTCAATATTATTTTACTTGAAAAAAAAGCCGCTATTTCAAGATAGGAATAAAATAAATAGCAAAAAAGGTAGACTATCTGTAAAATTTCAACGATAAGAATTAAAAAACAACATTTATTAAATGCAGTCCTAATTGCTATTAAAATTTTACTATTAGATTACTTTTAAAGGCAAAAGTTTGGTGCCACCTAATCTTCTAACTATTGCTGCCAATATAATTATTGTTTAAATACTAATATGAAAACCGAGAATGTCAGTGCAGACACGTTCCAACTCATGTAGCTTTGAAACGCAATTTTTCGGATCCTGCTGGTCAGAAGATAATAAAAATTGGGGTATCATTGGAAAGAGTATTAAACTCCCTTTAAATTAATGTGTCTCTTGACCTGGTTTGTCAAAGTTTTGTTCCTAATATTAACCTATAAATTAACGTAAACCGGGGTTACTTTGACATATTTTGAGAGGTTTTTGTGGCAAAACGCAAAAAAGGCTATAACGGACGCTCATTCTATCTCGTCGTACCACTTGAAGTTTTGTCTTGAGAAATACACTAAAAGGGAAGGCCTAAATTACCAGGAAAATTTTATATATTTTTTTAAAAAAGGTGTCAGTCTAGCCCGTGAGGGGGGGCTACTTTAACATGACGTTTATATTGTTTAAAAATCAATAAAGCCGTCTGGCGGATTTCTTTGACACCCATAAATTAAAAAAAATGTGTTTTATAAAACTTTTCTTAATAAAACAAAGGTTAAATTTGAAAAAATAGGTTATTTATTTAATAATATAGGTAATCCTATATAAATAAACTTATTAAGAAACAAGAAACCAACAAAAAATAAACATTCTTTTCTATCTTTGCATAAGAATTAAAAAACAACAAAAAAACATAGGAACTATTAAAAAACACATTAACAAAAATGTTTAAGTAGAATAGTCGTCTTCGCACCGATCACATTCATAGGATACATTTTTCGAGCCTTTATTGCAAATGCCACATACCCATTTGCAACAAGTGACGCAGCGAATTCATGGCTTTTTAAGTTGGTAATGACGAAAATCAACCTTACAAACAGTGCATAAATTACCATCATCTTCGTTTGAAGAGGTGTCAGTAGTGCGCAGACTACAATCTTCATTTATCACCCTCTGTTTTAAGAAACTCAAAAGCTGTCGAAGCGTCTGGGCTTGCGTTTTATTCTTTTACTTGATGGTTTTCTTGTTAACCCAGGGTCTTCGAGGGTCTTCTGGTTTTGTCCAGAACATCCAGCTTCAGTGATAGCTAGCTGATTTTTTCCTTTGACCATGTCAAATGTTGGAAGTAGAGCCTCACTAATATCTTCGTCTGGCACACTGTCCTCTACTCGGATGCTCTCATTGTTGTTTCCTAGTTGAGCCCCTGCTTTAATGACGAATTTCTTTCCTCTCTTGTGTCGAATTCTGTCTTCATTAAAACCTCTTGTCTCTTGCAGAAATTCAAGGAAACTGCTGAAAAGGATCCGTGTTGATTCTTCTTCATTTTCCTTTGGAAGCTTTTTCAGAACAGTCTGGGGATCGAACAGATAAAATCCCATGGCTCTAAAAGCGCCCTGTAGTTTTTTTTTTTTTTGATATTGGGAGCAATGGCATCCATCAACTTTTGTAATAACACTGGAAAATGCTCTTTTGGTATAGACCCTTTTTTTCTGAATTCTTGCCTCCAATTGTCAAGAACTTTACGCCATTGTTTTTCGAAGGTCCGTACACTCCAACATCGAGAGGTTGGAGCAAGTGTGTTGAAGATGGTGCAAGAGTTGTAAAATAAATGTGATGCCAAATTATCTCCGATGACGAAAACTTTTTCGTCTCCTACTCTGAGATGTTTAACGTGCGGTAAAAGTATTCTGAAAAACCAGACCTCAAACAGATCCATGTCGAACCATCCAGAGAGGCTGTTTCTGTAGAGTATTCCTGGCGGTCCGCCCTGGGTCCAATTTTCATAGAGATTTTTGGACTTATAAACCACTATAGGAGCAAGAATTTCACCTTTAGCAGTGCCACAGAACATCAAGCTAACTGAAGACTTAGAATGCACTTGAATTCTTTCCACACGCTTGTGACTTCGTGGTACAAGGACTTTTTTGGCAACAGGATCGTCCGAAATATTGGTTTCGTCATAATTATAAATCAAATCTGGACGAGTCCCTTCTAATGCAGATCTCATATTCTCAAAATATTCTGTGATTTCGCCGCGACCCACTGATGCCCGCTGTGGTTTAATGTTTGTAGCTAGTCTGTTGCTAAGATTATTTCTCTTTGCGAAGGCGTCCACAAAGTCAGGACCTGGCATATTACCATTCCACTGAGCAACATTTCTACCCTGCTTTGATACAAATTTATGCACGACCTCTCAAATATCAGCCTTCGTCAATGGATGCAATCGGCTACGATGCCCAGTGTGTCTGCAATTAGTATCTCTTCTTCGGGTGTCAAAACTGTAGGGTGACCGGGTTTTCCTTCATGTCTACGATGGATTCTGTTGAGGAGGGTAGTTTTATTTACCTTATATTGCAAAGCAGCGGCTTTTTGACTAAGTTGCTTATTTTGAACTGCTGCAACAGCTTTGGCAAGGTCTTCTTCCCTGTAGTTTTTATAAGGTCGAGCACCAACCTTTCTCTTGTAGACTTTAATCATTGCGATTTGTTTACGTTTAATCTAAAATAAAATAAAGTACCTAGTACAATTTTTTTTTACACAAAAAACCATCACATGCAAGATCCAAGAATAAAATAAAATACTATTTATAGCCATAGAAAAATTATGTCTACTTAATTACACTATTAAACTACAGTAGAAACAACAATGTTGATAGACTTACCCAAGTGGTGCCAGCGCAATCTTAAAAAATTAACAAACGCTCTAGAGGTACTTTACGGTGAACGCTAGACGGCACACTGGAGACTGTTGTGAGTGTTGTGGCTAAAACCTGTTGGCGCGCGCTCGATCCCCTCCGCGCGCTCGAACGGCAATTCGAGAAAACCGTTGAAGTCAAAGTAGCCCTTAAAGGTGCCAAAGTACAGTTCATCAAATTTCTAGAGGTGTTCGACGCCCAGACAGAGAACGCGCTACGTGTGACTAAGATAGCTATTGTACAGTCTGCTAAACAAGTTATTTTAAATAGTTTTTAATATTTTTAGGTAATTAAATTTTAAAAGTGTGGAATAGTTTAGGGATTAAATTGGTCTGATTGGACTTTCTTAGAACGTTTTTAAAAGCAGCTAAAGATAGTATGTAGAATTGAAAATAATTATTATGCCATAAAAGGTGTTTTGGAATTCCTTCAACCTTTTGAAATTGAGTCAGAAAATATAAATTTTATAGGATAGCGGAAAATACCTATAATTTTTTTGAAGGCCTTTGTAAATCGTGGAAATAGTTTATATTTTATTTCTACCTTATTAAGGAAAATGGTACCTATTATTAATAACGGTTGTTTCTGAAACATTACTAAAATTTTCGAAATTTTGTTTTTCTACAAAATAATAAACTATACTATTTAGAAAAAAAATTATTTAAATAAAACGATAAATTATCTCGACGAATGACACAATGTTCTAGTACGGAAGCTAGCTTTACATTTTTGTTGGTGGTTTCATGGGTTTCATATCAATTTTTTGTAATTGTAGTTTACACGTACATATACCTCTTAACACTTGTTTGCTTTATTAAAAAAGTGTGTTGTTGTGATTTACGTCGAAATAAGTCAAAAACAACTTGAAACCCCATATAAAATCAAAAAGGAGAAACGGAAAAAAAATTGAGCCTGTAAATGAACACAACTCAGAAACAAAAATAGCTATCTAATAATAAAAAAATAAAATTTGATTCTTGTGCAGCTTTATCTATATAATTAACTGTTTTTGGTTTTTTAATGGTTTTTCTTGGTGATGAAAATTCCGATATCTCACGGTTATCGATTCTTTTTCTCTCTCCAGAAATGCGGACGACAGTGTTTTTAGATACTCCTGTGGCTGCAGCAACACGATCATTTACATTTTTAAATGGTATTGAAGGTGAATTAAAGTTTCCTTCTCTTCTCATAAACTCTATAACATTGGCTATTATTTCGCGAGATTGACTGTTAATCACGCGGCCTCTTAATTTGCTATTAAACTCCATACTTAGGTTCTATTAAATTGTAATGAGCAAAAAACACAAACGAAAATAAAAGAAATGTTTTAGCGAAATTTACATCTGACATTTACGTCTGAATGAAATAGTGAAATACTTGATGCGCAGAGTGTACTTTCATTGCGTAAATCCGTCGGGATGCCTGTCAGTAGTGCTTTCTCTGTCTAGCCGTCGAAAGCCTCTAGAAATTTGATGAACTGTAACACGTAAAGTCAAAGTAACCCCAGTTTACGGTATTCATCTCACTCACTCACAAATAATAACAAAATGCAAATTGTCAGTGTTCATGTATTACAGAACACATAAACTAAAAAGGGGGTAATTTTATTGTATTTACAGCATACTCATAGCGGTATCTAGACTTTCTAAGAGCTATAACTATTACTAACTTAAAAAAATATATATTTTTTAGCCGATTTATTAATATTTGAAAATGGATCCATTTTGGCATGGATTGGTCCAGTTCTTCCGCATCTAAGATCGAATAATACAGAAATCAATCCATTAGGAGCACCCATAACAACGCTTCAAGTATCAATTCTATCAGCCCTTCCGTATGCAGGCCTGGTATTCGGCAACCTGATACTAGCAAAAGTGTCAGACAGATTGGGACGAAAAAAAACTTTAACTTATTGCGCTACTGGAACTGTATTGTTTTTGTGCATCCTAGCCTTTGCATCAAACATATATTTTTACTACGTTTCTTTATTTTTAAACGGTTTGTTACTGGATGGTATTTATATAAATGTTTATATGTATAACAATGAAATTGCTGAAAATAGTAATAGAGGAAAATTAGGTTGTGTTGCTGGACTTTTCTGGACAATTGGAACATTTTATACTTGCTCAGTCGGATCAGTTACAAACGTTCGTACCTTAACTCTACTTTGTACTCTCTCAGGTATATTCTATTTACTGTTATCGAATTTATTAGTGGAATCTCCTGCGTTTTTAGCATCAAAAGGAAAGAAAATAGAAGCAATAAAGTCTTTAGAGGTATTAAGGCGACATAAAACTGCTAAAGATATAGAGTTAGAATATGAGTTAATTGAAAAAACTGCCAACAGCAATACAGATAATAGAGGAAAATTTTCTGATTTACTTAAAACCAAAGCTACAAAAAAAGCTACTATTATAAGCATTACTATCCAAGTTGCACAACAAATATCTGGAGTGTTAATTGTTATATTCCATATTCCTATAATTTTTCAGGACGCTGATGTTAAAGTACCAGGGAATATTGTTGCAATTTGTATCAATTTAATTCAAGTTATAGTGTTTTTTATTCCAACATTTTTAGTAGATCATATCGGTAAAAGACCTTTACTGCTATTTTCAACAGCGTTCTGTTCAATAACAATGTTTTTCCTAGCTTCATACTTTTATTTAAAACATCTGGAAATTCCTATTATTGAAGATATCATCTGGTTACCAGTGATTCTTGTAATCCTTTTTATTTCAGGATACTGTCTAGGCTTAGGATCTCTTGCTCTTGTAATTATTAGTGAACTTTACCCCACTGATTTGAAGCCTATAGGAATAGGAATTTGTTTAGTTGTATGTGAACTTGTTATGATTTTGGTAGTATTCACTTATCCATTGATATCTGAAATATCAGGTATTTATTGTTGTATGTGGAGTTACAGTGCTTTTACGTTTATTGGTTTTATTGTATTATATTTTATTTTACCAGAAACAAAGGGTAAAACTTTATTGGAAATCCAAGATATATTAGGCAGATAGTTTAGATTTAATTTTATATATTATTCAAATTAGAGCTCAGAAAACAGCCATGATTCTGACGTCAAGGGATCAAAGGAAAAGTACACGGTATCGTCAATAACATATACATGTAGTTGTAACAAATGTTATATAAATAGTTGTAAATAATGATTTTTTTTAATAAAAAATATGATGTGTTCAACACATGACTTTTCTATCTAGTTATTACAGGCTTTTTCCGGTTATTTTGTACAACCTATTGTAGCACCACTGTAAATGTTTAGAGAATAAACTAAATATATTTTTTACACATCTAACTCGAAACATTTTTTTATATATATTCATTGCCAACGAAAATAACAGATATATTTCATAAAATATAAAAATTACCCCCTATAAAGTTCCCCCCAGATGTTTACTGGGGTGAATAAAGGTTAAATTTAAAAGTTGGTGTTTTTCTCTCTATCAGTTTTTGAGTTTTCTTCAAAATTCGAAATTTACACATTTTATTTACTTACTCTATTGGCAAAACAGTGGATTTCAAATAGAAGGTCCTATCCTATTATTATAGCTAAATAAATCTTCAGGTGAAAAGTGATCCAAAGAAACTTTGGCATGTTTCAGTTTTGATATCTTCCTCATTTATTTTTAAGTTGTTCAGCCACAACTGACGTTGGACAATGTCTCTCGGAAACCTGTAAATGTATATATCATAAAATAACCAGTTTCTATATTTAGCTATTTTTATATCAAGAAATAAATAAAACCCTAGTACAGTTGTTACGCTCATGGATTAGTGATGACGAACGAATACTAGAACTGATCCAAGGATCTAATCCCTGATACTCGGATCACGTACCTGATCCCAACATGAAAAACAAATAATTCACAAACTAGTACGCATCGACGCAACCACCGACGTATTTGTTATTCGATTGCGGCACTACTTACTGACTATACTGATACCTGATACAGGAGGATAATGCGCACGACAGTTGGACTCGATACTAGAAACTACCAGGATAGCTATTCACTAAGTCATGGGAGCGCTCCCATGGGAGTGCTCCCATATATTTTGCTCTCTTACTCTTAGATGGGTCTATCGTGCTTACTCACTTTTAGGCCAGGTACATGCGTAGTAAGGTCAGATGCGAGGGAGAATTGCGGGCTTGCCAGATTTAGGTCCGTATTTATCACAAAGGAAATTTGAACTATTTAGGACCGATTCCACCGCTGTGTTAAACAAAGTTTAAAATGACATTTTTACATTAACAATGTCACTTTAATCTCCGTTTAACACAACGGTGGTATCGGCTCTTAAATAGTAGATCAAAGTTATTCTGTCGACTTGGCAACGTTGGCATGGGAGTATGGGAGCATGGGAGTATGGGAGTGCTCCCATGAGTTAGAGAATAGGTATCCTGAACTAACACTTGATTGATTCTTCATCGCTTCGCGTGATCCGACTGTAAATGTATGGTGTAGGTACCTACTAACTAGGCTAGGATCGGTTGGATAAAAGCATTTTTTCGGTTTCTGTTAAGACTACTTTTAAATTAGGTACTAAACTTTCGTTGGGGTTCCAATTTAGTGTTAAATTTTTAATTTTACATGTTCATACTTGCTGTGTTTGAAAATTACCTCATTTTGCTCTTTTTACTCGAAGTCGTTCTTTTAATACATCTGCGGCTTCTCGATGGGATCTGCTACGTAGTCTTTTAATGTAGAGCTGGTAAATCGAGTAAGATCTATTTACTCCGAGTTAAATTTTAGAGCTTTCGGAGTAAATGGAATTTCTGTGACAATTGACAAAGTAGATGTACTTTTCTGAGATGTATAGACATCGTTCGTTGTCTCTTGTATTGCAGTTTATTCTTTTTCATATGTGTTTGGTTATTAAAAAAAATATTTATAAAACATGTCAGACAGAAATGAGAACATGGTTTATTTTCTAGTGAAAGCAAAAAAGCGAAAAATACCACAGATAAAAATTTACTTTACTTGGCAACTTGCAACAAAAACCACGAGACGAGAGATCAAATTTGATTTAAAAGAAAGGTTTACGTTTGTTATTTTAATGAAAACCGGATACGGGAAACAAACAAATCCATAGCCGTTCTTTTATTCCACATAAGCTCGATGATCACGTGACTAAAAAATCTACTAGCTCTACTCCGCTCCGTGGGGTACTTTTCAAACGTAGCAATTGTAGGAATATAATAATTAATTTAATTAGGGTCGATTCCACCGTTGTGTTAAACGGAAATTAAAATGACATTGTTAATGTAAAAATGTCATTTTAAACTTCGTTTAACACAACGGTGGAATCGGTCTTTAGGCATGTTAAGAAATATTAGGTTTACATATTTTGTTATTTTTATAAACATATTTAACCGAACGGGCGGCACACTGCATAAAACCATACAACAAACGCATTCATGAAAATAATTTCCCATTCGTTTTATTTAGGACCGATTCCACCGTTGTGTTAAACGAAGTTTAAAATGACATTTTTACATTAACAATGTCATTTTAATCTCCGTTTGACCGTTGAATCGGTCCTTAGAGAGTCTTGTAACGCTGTGTAGCGTTTGCAGACTTCACTGATTGCATTAGGATTGGTATCAGGAACTGATCCTGGGATCAAGTATTTGCATATATGGGATCAACTCCGAACTGATCCGTGAAAAAATTGGGATCAACCATCACTATCATGGATATCTACATTGGCTGCGTTCATCCGCGCCATTTCAAGGAGCGCTACAAAAGTAGCGATCACTTACGCTACCTGATCGATCTTTATGTACGGATGAACCTGTTTAAAAATGACATTTGATTGTGGTTTATTCATTTTACTTTTGAGTTGAATGTCTCTGGTTGAAGATTTGTTTGTTTATTTGTGGTTTGTTTATTTTTCAATTGCTAATATAACCCTACTAGTCACCAAGCAAACCATGGACGTAAGTGCGTAAGACATATCAGTGATCTGATCACCGATCAGACGTAAATAAAATGCGCTACTTTTAATGGCGGCCGCTCCTTGAGCGAAATGTCAAAATACACCGTTCATACGTGCCACTCGAGAGCGCTACCAGATCGATCAGGTAGCATGTAGCGCGGATGAACGCAGCCATTATTACCGGTGTGAACCAATGAACTGGAGTAGGATAGAATGCTGCCGTCCTATGAAAAAACCCCGTAACTCTAAAAATTGAATAAAAAATATTACCATATACATGTTTCTGGCAGTATAAACTACCATTTTACTAAGAAAAAAAAACGTATTTGCTTTTTTTTGCCTAAATTTATCATAGAAAATTATTTCCCCGTATATAGCTTTGCGGCCAAACAAACTATGTTAAACCGCGTTTTTCTCGAAATCATGTTTTCTGGAGATACAAGGGTCTTTCTTAGGGGTGAGATTACAGAACATCTGCAACTTTGCAAATATGGCGGACTTACAAATGCAAATATTCCAAAAAATATCTGCAAATTCGCAATATTTATTGTGGTTTATTACCCCCAACAACACTAAATCCAAATTTGGAATACGAAAACTTGATACTTGCATGTGTAAGTCAGTCATATTTGCAGATTTTCAAAGTTGCCGCCATATTTGCAGATCTGCAAAGTTGCAGACGTTCTGTAATCTCACCCTAGGACGGCAGAATGCTCGTCAATGGTCTTGAGATGCGACTCTATGGGCGAAGACAGGTTATTTTTCATCTCACTCGGGAGTGTTTATAATACCCATTTTTTATTTCACATTGTTATTGTCTGATCCACCGACTATCTAAGTTCGAGATATGATGGAAAAGAAGAAAACATGGTTGATTTCGATGTCTTTCTTTTGCCGCGGTTGAATATCCACATATCTATTTTAAGATGTGAATTTTTTATGTGATAGAGAATTAGATCTGAATGTAGATGTAATAAACAAGCGCTCTAGACTTTATTGGCCACGTAATAAAATAACAATATTTACATTTCATATTCATAAGATTGATTTTGACATACTGTGGAAAGGGCGAGCATTGGTTTTGGTAACCCTAATATCCCTGCAACCACCGAATGTCCGCAACGGCAAGACTTTTATAGCACATCTCACAGAGGTTACAAAGTGAAGTTCGGAAAACATCACACTAGCACTTTTAAGGTACTTACCCTGAAAGTTGCTCTGAAACTTTCTATAGATGTTATAATGTGAATTAATTCTACAGCATTATACAGTGTGTCCACGGATGGACTTAACTATACTTGTGAAAATATTTATTTTAAATTAAAAAAGTAATTCTTTATAATTTCTTTTACTTGTTAAATAAATTCGATTCACATTAAGAAATTATGATAAATAACTTTTTTTTAATTTAAAATAAATATTTTTACAAGTATAATTTAAGTCCATCCATGGACACACTATATTGTTCTTTGTGTAATGCAATACAGAGAGGCTGAAATTGAGGTATAGTAAAAACTCAATCGAGACATGGAAATTTCAAATAAAACAAAATATTTATATAAATTTATTATTAAAATGTTCTTGAAATCAAGTAGTAATATCACAAAAGTAGAGTTAGGTATATCACAAACGCAGTTACACATGTGCGATAGTAGAAGCCACCTATAAAGCACTGAACGATTGGACAAACTTTGCTTAATAGTATATTAAGGTATCAATATTGCAAAGGTTCACTAGAAGCTTAAACAGTGAACGATTGTACAAAAGTATAGTTCAAAATGGCAATTGTATGATGCTAAAAAAACTAGATCTGTGAATAATAGATGACTATATATTATATGAGATAGCCGAGGTTCCAGATTGCTTACCTGTACTCGCAGAGATATATCATCTTCTTAAAATCAAATTTTTTAACTTTTTTTTTGTATAGATATTTA